TGCAAAGTGTTGCTGTCATATTGCATCATAATTGTAAAAAAAATATTTATTTATGAGGAAATCTACGAAAAAAAGACATTACGAAATTGACAAGGTCATAGATCAGGTTCCACATTTTATAATTGCAAAATTACAACACGTTTAAAACAAATAAAATAATTAAAAGCTTGAAATTAGATAAACACAATTAATTTCCTCGAGTGAATAATATACATGAAAACGATTCCAATTCTATGTACGTGTCATAATTTCCCGTTTTCTCTTTATTATTTCTTACTTCACCTTCGTAAGATTAAGTACATTATCCGGGAATTGAAGACCGACCGTCTCGATGTAACTCGATTAATGCAGGAGACACGCTTCTTCATATTTTCATTTGCATTCAAACTGCGCATCATTCAAACCTTCGATGCAGTCGAAAATCATTACTTTTCGTTTTTTGTCAATATGCTCATTAATTAACGCTGATAAACAACATTCGTCCTCTAATTGGAAAAACAATGAACTGTAATTAAAATTGTTTTGATCGATTTAGTTTTTGCATGATTGTTAGTATTATTATTATGCTTGGTTTACCTGAAAATCGACGCACATAACATTTCTATTTTATTAACGTCAGTAATAAAATTCGCATCCAGTTTGAATGAAATCAGTCCGACCGTAATGAATTTATGCAAACCCGGATAAATGGAGATGCTAATTAGTTTCCATACGCGATTTATAAATAGTAGAGCAAATTTCTTCGGCATCGAAAGCCATCCGCTTCTAAAAGCAAATAGCCTTTCTTACATTCAAGTTTTGTTAAACAGTTTCATCTTTTCTTTATAAAAAAAACTAATTATTCACATCAGAAGAATGCTATTATTAAAGAAATTGATAAATATCATTATGATAATAGTTGTTAAGAAAACTGTAAAGCTTTATTAAAATTATCTTAAAGTCAAACATAACTTCAGTCAAGTACAAATTGCAATTAATATAATCACATAAATATATATTGCAAATTGTGATAATTAACAAACTTTATAATTAAATTCATGCAAACAGACATGGTGTAAAGTTTTAGAAAACATATTTAACATTCATGCACATGTTTGCAAATGAATTTATGAGAGAATAATTTATGAATATTCGAATATGGATAATTTCGAAAACGGTATTTTGTATTGAGTAAACTTGAGACCTACTTTGAAAAAATATTTCGTTTCTGCAAATTTGTTTATTATTATATTTTTAAATTTTCTCTTTGATTTAAAAAAAATTTATATACGTTGTTATACGTTTGAAAGATTAAAATGTATCATTTTGTATAGGTGAGAGTATAAAAGGTTCAATGCAATAGGTCACCACTGGACATGTTAAGTAACGAAGGTCTGAAGAGTGTGTAAAGAAGCAGTTTCGAACTGGTTTTGAATTTGAATCTAGGCCAAGGCAGAGAAGAAACGCATCCAGTTTCCCGGTGCAACATCTAACTGAACTTGAAATGTTAATTAAATCTATTTACGATTGAAGCCATTACATTCAGTGAAAAATGCTTCAATTCCAACAAATTACGCATATATTTCAATTAGATTGTGCACACATTGAGGTTGTATCATAATAATAAATTGTTAAAAATGATTTGAATGTATCAAGATTACAATCTGGTTAAATTTTAAGAACAAGAAAATATAAGATCTTATGATTATTGTCATTAAATTTGCACTGCTTTTGTAGACTTAAACTAATGAATTACTTAATGAATATTTATATTTGAAAAATGACCAATTTCTTGTAAGTTTTGCAATAAATTTTTACTTATTATTATAATTAGAAACAATTATGCATTCAATTACATTGTGCAGTTCGCTCTTCGTCGCACGTATTTTCCAGTGATTGCGAGCTGTTGAAATGAATTGAGTATTCATAGAGGATTTTCGAAATGACAGATGGACGATACAAATCGCTGTAAATGTACCACACACACTCATCCAATATCTCAGTATAACGAATGCTTTGTGAATTGGAATTGATTTACGTTCGAATCTGCAATATTTCATGTCTTCATTATGTGATTTTTCTCTCACGCTTTCGTCGCAACACTTCTGAAGCAACGTTGCTTAATCTTCAACACAGAGAAGCCGCCTGGATTCGAGATAATCCGAATTTAATAGCCAACCGACTCGGTTCGCTCTCGTGTGTATATATATATATTTTTGCGTTGATTAATGCTCCTGCAATAAAGTGGATTATATAAGGAGCATGTTTACAAATCCGCGAGTGTTATGTAAAAAAAAAAGAAGAGAAGAATGATGACGAGAGGTATGGTATTCTGCAAGTGTTGCGTTAGTCGGATGGACAAAGAAGAGGATGAGCTCTCCTCGCGGCTGTAATTATCCCGCAGCATGGCGCCCTCGTTATAAAACATTCACCTAGGCCGACAATCACCTCCGGAGACGACGATTGTTTTGGTCGCGTTTTCGCCGAGTTGCGTAACGCGTTGCGAGATTCCTTCGGCGGATGGTGAAACGAAACGGTTTGGCATCGATCAAAAACATTGCCTCCGGCCAAAATCGCGAAATTGAACTTAACCATTTTTGGTACCGGCCATCGTTTGCGCAATTTGCCGCATACAAGAACGATCCTCGACATCTTCTGGGAAAGTAAAAAATGAAGAAGATGAAGAAAAGAAAAAAAAAGAAAACTGAAAGCGCACGTAATGATAATCCGTAGGAAGCAGGCATGCATGTTGCACTGGGCAATTAATTTGCAACTGCTGAAGTGAGACCGACGTGCGATGAAACTGTAAAACGAGGGAAAACGTATAACACAACCAAATGATATTGTGATGCGACCGGCGACCAAAGGAAAATTAATATTCTAGTCGGGTGTCACAGGGCATATACCATCCAGGTAGATAGATGCATTTTCACGAAGAAATTACTTTGCAGCTCGTCTTTTCACATTCACTTCACTGGAGGGTTTTTACATTATGAAGCAACTATTAATTACGAAACACACTTCGCGTAAAGACACAAGCTTTGCTATAGCAACCTTTTAAAGTGCTTTTATAAAAATTCATTAAATCTGTTTACATAAGCAATTATAATTCAGTTAAACAATTAATCAGAAATCAATACTTTCTGATAAAGCAGTTCTATCCTTGAAGCGAATTTAATCCATCATTAGATTTGTTGAAGCTACTCCATCATCAAAATACTAATCAAAATAAATTGAATACACACACAAATTATATGATAAATTGTCTTACAACAAAATCACCATTGATAATTGTGTTCTTTTATAACTTTAGAATTATCTTTGAGTGTTTGAAGAAGGAACTTTGCTAAAATGCAATTATTAATATTTTATTTTAAAGCAAATGTATACGTTAAAGTTATCAAATCTAATCAATTATAAATAGTTTTCAACTGTAATCGCTTGATAAATTATGGTTTTATTGATTATAATGGTGCGTAGACATTTAAAAAATAAGTGGTTATGAAAGCATAAAATTTAAATAATCCACGAAAGTTTAGAATTTAAAAGTTTACTGTTTTACATTAATACATTTCGTCGGCAAGTTCCACTTAGGTATTTAAAATAATTTACTTACTTTGAAAACTTCTTAAAGTAAAAATGACTATAAATATAAATTCCTTTTCGTATTAATAACTCCCATCAATTTTTAGGAAAAGTAGATTGGTCTGAAACGATATTCATTTACCTGGAACGTAATGAAAGCACTTTGCACTAGTTCTTGTAATATCCAATAAAAGATGTTACAAAACCAATTTTATATGCGCGCATTATTATTTCATAACGATTTATCAAATATTTTAACTTATACATAAAAGATTAATATTCTGAGATAAAATCCTTAAAGATATTATAGTATAATTCTATGAATATTCGTGCAATATCTGGTTTTGCGTTGTAAGTTATTTATTTAAGTGAGATTCTAAGAAGAAAATAATAACAATTAATTCATTTTAGCGAAGTGTAAATAAATAAAGTAGTTCAAGGAAAATAACAGCATAAATAGTGTAATTAGTTTCATTTAGCGCGACGTGTGTAAACAGATTTTTTTTCTTTATAATTAGTACACATTTATGTAAATCGCATTAAGCTTTGTAAAAGCAAACAATTGCAATTTAGTACCAAAAAAAAAACAACAAAAATTTAAGTGCGTTTTCACGTTACAATGACAATTTTAATCATATTTATCAGATTCACATTAAGTGTGACGTGAGTCAGCTTATTTATGTATGCGACGAGTTTATTTAATTTCTACTAATTACGAAAACAGCGAAAACATTTTAATATAGAAAATTCCACGAGCATGCAGTGCACCGTTAATTTCACGAAATGCATATTTATAAAGTAATAGTGATTTGCATGCGACCTTAGCCCTGACTAGGAAAGGCGAACGTTTAATTATGTTTCAACTAGTAGAAAACAAATACCTCGATTGAAAATAACTGCTGGCGTGGAAAATTCTGAACTTGAATCGCCAAAGCCAAATAACTGGAGTGAAAGTGATCCACGATTGTGTTTCGATCGTAAAGGAATCGAATTTCTAAAAAAAATGTTATTATTGACTCGTTATGGTCTCATTTGTGCTTGATGTTTCTAATTTAATTTCAAGTATTTTGAATAACGTTATTTGATGTTTAAAGAAAAAATGATCTAAAAGGTTGTATGCGCTCCATTTGGTTTTTATGATGAAAATGTTAAGATTTTGTTACTACATTAAATTTATTAAATGTTAGAAATGAGGAAGTAACAGAAACATATATGTTTTGCAATCGTTTTCGGGCATTGGTATTTTGGTGGAATGTTCATTTGCGAAATTTGTGATTTATCTCTAATAACAGCTGAAGTGAACAGGTGCGGCCGTCATAAGAGAAAGCGGGTCAAAAGACAAGAAAATTAAGCGAAATGGTGTGTATACAAAATGCTTACTCTAAATATACAAATCATCTTCAGTTAGTATTGATTGTTAATATTGTATATCTTACCTTCGCGTAGTCATTGATCTGAAGGAATGTAGCTATTCCAGCTCTGACACGATTTTTCACACCTCTAACAGTACCACGAGCGCTACGGATCGTGGATGCGCCATCTTCACCTAGCAAGTCTTTGTAGCCGGCAAAAGACTCGTCCCCTTGTGTATTGAAATTGGTCACTTTTACATTCTCCTCATCGTCCAAATGTTCGTTCAAATGAAACTTGTAGAATTTGTCAGTGTCGTAAATAATATTAGTCGGTGCATCGGCAGGCTTTTGGTCCCTTTCTTCGTAAATGCATTCCTCGATGATCTTCTTGTTATTGTTGTTCAAGGATTCGGTGATCTGTTTCTCAGGCTTCATGCCGCCAAGATCATCGTGTTGTTCGATCTTTTCGGTTTGAGTCAGTTTGATGGATCTATCTCTGATGTCTTTGAGAAGACCTTGGGGAAGAAATGCGCTAGCCTTGCATTCCTTCACAAATTTGTCATCGGAAAGTTCCTCCGGAAGGTCCCCGCTATTCAGTGAGTCGCAGCTGATGTTGCTCTCGTTGTCATCGCTGTCGGCGTCGGCGCCGCTGCTCGTCAAACTGGGTGCTCTCTTGTGCTGAGCTCCGATAACGGTCACACTGACACCTGCTGATTTCTTCTTAGGCAACGGAGGCGGTGGAGTACTATCCAGATCGCTGCATGTGCCCGAATCCAAGGTATCACTAGGTGATACCTGTCCACTCGAGATAACAGTTCCGCAGTTGAATGGATTGTAGTAGAAATAAGCGTTGGAGTTCGCCGACTCGGTGATATTGTTCTGAATCATCTCCGTTTCGTTCGAGTTGACGCTGATACGGATGCAAGGTGATATCTCGCAGACGACACCCGCGTCACCTGTACTGTTCACACTAGCGTCTTCTGGATTGATGCGGATTTTGACGACATGATTGCCCGATGTTGTTCCAGTGCTGCAGATCTGCGAATGTCCTGTATGAACTTCCGGCACGGTGTAACCGAAGACGTCTGCAGTGGAACTTGATAGTACCGTTGCTGAGACTGGAGGGGACCTTCTTGTCTTCGGTGGCAACGGCGGTGGACCAAATGCTGCTACCTGTTCCATTATATTCTTAACGCATCTAATACCAAAATCACTGCTTGAATACGGATTATTATAAAGTACTTAGTCCCTGGCACTGCACAGCACTATCCAACAAAAAAAATATACAAAGTTAATTGTACCGAAAACAAGGAAAACCCCAACTGTCTTTGGACTCACTGGATTGTTGTGTATAAGTGTGTTTTTTTGTTTGTTTCTTCTTAAAGAGTTTCGGCGTTATTAAATTTATTTACAGGTGGCCAAACAGCATAAGAAGTGGGCAATTAGTGGCACAGTTCGTGAGTAACTGTACATACGTGCGTTCTATAGACCGACAGACCACGGACTGAGCCTGAAGTTGTGCCACTTGTGCGAGCGTTACAGTCTCCAAGTCCAAGACGGCTTTCTCAATGACACCGGACAGTCTCACCATACACTCTCTCCACGCCAGAAATCAAGAGATTCACATTGCCCGCCCGACCAATAACCCAAATTTTTGATAATCACCCGTATCACAGTTGCGTTGTCTGTACCCTCACAATTATATCTAATCTCTACATAAATAACATCATTTCCATTATTATTATTGATTAATAAACTATATAGTTACAGTTCATTTTGCATATTTTTATATTAATTTCACTATGACAAAATTATAAATACTTTTACAAGTGTGACAAATTTCATCCAATATTAGTCCAAATATATTTAAATTTATTTTTTATATTAATTAATTAATAAGTTTATTAGTAAACAAAAATTCAGTTTCTTTTACAGAAAATAAACTTGAAATTGTATATTAAATTCACTTAAATTTTAATTTCCTTAACCTACCGTTATTAATTAAGAAAATAAGAGTTAAATGTAATTTTAAAATATAAAAATAGTATATATTTAAAGTCATTTTACTATATACTTTCAAATTTAACTACAGAAGGAAAAACAAATATTTGAAAAGTAGATGCAATATTTTTTTTTTGTAAAACATAAATTAATGGAAGATTATCTGGAAACAAATTTGATTCATAATAAATAATTATCTGGGATTATAAGATAAAGTTTATCAGTGAAGTACAACATAACAAATAAATTACCTAAAAAAAAATAATACAAATGAAACATTGATAATAAATATTTATTATATAAATTATATTTAATGAGTATTAATTACAGAAAATGCACCAATAATGTTTATGAATTAAAACTTTTCACCTACAGGTACGTTGATCTGGTCGTCATAAAAGCAAGTCCATTTGATGGTTGTGTTTTTGAAAGCATTTTGTTTTATTATGGAAATTTAAAAAGTATAATAAGTGTAATTTCTTACGTAATTGTGCTGCACTAATTATTGCCAATACATTATACTTTTGTAACAAGTTTTATTGACTCCGTGGTATCGAATACAATTCCCAATGCGTATAACATTTCAATCGTCCCATTGATTCAGTCGACCAGAACTGACAATGAAAAAAAGCAAGTGATATAAGATGCACAAAAAATCAGACTCAACTTTCACCGTACGCAAATTCTATTACAATCGTAATAGTAAGAATTTGATTACTATTTATTTATCATATTTTAATTTGTAATTTTGTTTATTGTAATTTAAAAGTTTAGATTATTTGTAACAATTAGTTGTTACAGAAGTTTGTTCCATTTTCATTTTAGCAATCACAACCCTCAAATGTAATTGAGGCACAAAGTATTTCGGCTAATCCAATTCTCAAGTAAAGCTTACACAAAGCATAGTATTTCTCTTTGTACAAAATCCTTGCTCTTTTCTTATTGACTTTAATATTTCTAACATGAATCTTCCGGTAATTTAATATGTTTGTCCTGGTATTAATTAATTGAACGAGTTCATTGTACGGACGAATTTCAATTATTTTTTTCATCCTTAATTTAGAACAATTAATTCTCAAATAAAACATTAGCTGTTTTTATATCCATTGTTTATAGTAAACACTTATGAGACTAATAATATTTATGACGAAATATATTATTCGTGTATATTCCGGTTATAATGAAACAAACTTGAAGACGGTAAGTTTATGATTATCTCAAGTCTAATTATTTTAATAGATTTGCGCATTAAATTAATGAAATGGTTGCATCGCTATTATACTTGTCTCTGTACGTGTTGTAAGACTATACAACTTTGTTACAGGATACCCATCTTAATAGTCGTGTCACATTCTATGACTTGCAAGAATGTTTTCGCTCAAGCAAATAATACAAAAATATATATACGTGTGAGTTCTCATCTGAAAATAATCTTGATTAATGCTGTTGTTTCAATTGCAATGACGATATTAACATTTTAAAAACCTTGCGCACGTGTTTTCATGTCTGATTAATTCACCTAGCACTTCTTGATATTTCCAACATAGATTAAAGTTAGTCATCTATGGAGGATTTACATGTTGTATTTTCATGAGAAAAATCCGGGAAACCGTTATTTGTTCTCATATTCTGACTAGTGAAGCATGCTAGTTGTCTAAAAGTAATGAGGTAATAAATATTAAATTTATTAATTAAAATGTTTTCATATTTTATATATATATTTTTAATTTGTGAAATAACATAGCAAATACTAACATATTATTAATTAAGTCATCAAATTGAAATAGTTGCCTACCTTGGACCGGTCTAATTATAAAGTAAAACGTGCTACGATGTTGTGACAATAATAGTTCTTAAAAATCCAAATTAAAGACAAATAATCATCATATTTTAGTCAAGAAGCTAATATTAAAATTTCACAATTGGTTCGAGCTGGACAAGTGGTCCATCCTAGGAAATCAATTGCCAAGTCTTTACCATTCTAACTTGTATGTTTTCCAAACAGTTTTCCATCAATATTAAGTATTTCCTTTTTTTTTATTTAATTAAATACGTTTCAAACTATTGATTTTATTGTTTCGTGTCTCGTGGACGTACACGCGATTTTATTTTCATTCAAATGATTGGCATAAATTAATAACACGTGAGTACTTCAATAAGCATAAACAAACGCAAGTTTCGGATCTCACGTGTAAATCAAGTTTGCTAGAAGCGTGTATGTGCTGCCCGTATATATATATGTATACAAAGTAATAATAACAGTATATTGAAATTCCTGCTGTTTGTAACTGTTACGTTTCTGTCGTTTCTTTTGCATACCCTATTGATTACCACTAATAGACATCAGTCGACATTAATTGTGCCATTAATACACCTCCGTGTTGAAAATTGGATCATTTCATTACCAACCAACTTATTTTTGTTGCACCTGTTGAACACACGAAACAATTGTATGTTTTTTTTTTTTTTATTTATTTTTTCTCGTTTTATGAAACGCATTCCAAAATACGAGAAACAACTATTAAAACGACTCCGTTTATGTCATTATATCATTACACTTATTTACTACTTCGAGATACAAGTGGAAAATTATTGTTATTATACATTTTTTTTTAATGACTTGTTTAGGTGACATAACAATACTGGATTATAACATTACTATATTAAAAGAAACGTTTCTACTATCAATCAGTAATAAACACATACAATTATAAAATATAACCTTATTTATTTAAATATTGTTCTATTTATATTCAATTTGAAATACTTAAAGATACGACCAATTGTAGAAAAGTATAATAAAATATACTTGATTATACAGAATACAGTGGAACCTCGCTTAACGACTATATTCACTTCTAGAATTTTCGGATTTTTACTCAAATAGTGAAATACTCGTATAGTGAAACAATTTTCACCATGTAAATGTAAAATATGATAAAGCGTTCCATGAAGGTAAAAAAATATAACCTGGTCTCGATTTTTCATGATATTGTTTTTCACTTATAGCAATCCCATAGAAATATAGTCAAATGTAAACATTTTCAATTTAATAAAAATCTATAAAATTAATTTCAATTTATTAAAAACAAATGTAAATATTTTTCAGAAAATCCTAATCACATTTTTTCCAAATTCTACAACTCGTAGCAGGCGACTCGGAAATAGCACGAAGATGCCAGTAGGCTTGTTGGAAAGACAAAATATTCAGCTTTCATACGAGTGTTCGGTGATGTAACTATCTTAAGGATTTGTTGAGAAAATCACGAAAAACTGAATAAAAAACGAGAAAAAAATGTTCTTCAGCTTATAACAGGCCACTTGATATAACTACAAAGATGTATGTAGGCGCGTTGGAAAGGTGAGATCTTCAGCTTTCATACGAGTGGTCTATGATTTAATTACCTTTAGGGGTTGTCGAGAAATTCACGAAATACCGAAAACACTGAAAAAATTGAGAAAACCGTCATTTCTCTGTTATGTATAAGACGTTAAGTGTGTGTTTTTTTTTCAATTTCTGCAGCTCATAGCAGGCGACTCGATGACAGCACGAAGATGTATGTAGGCTTGTTGGAAAGATAAAATATTCAGCTTTCATACGAGTGGTTGATAATGTAATTATCTTAAGGGGTTGTCGAGAAATTCATTCAATTTTTTTGGCAAATCCAATTCACTTTTTTTCTGATTGTTTACCTCTATTAGAATAGGTACTATACTTTTATTATGACCCAATTTATTATTACATAAGTTCGCAAATGGATATCTGATGTAAAAACAAACCCCGTTAAACAACCGGCAAAAAAAATAATGCAAATAACGGATTGATAATTTTACATTTTGTTAATATTTACATTAAACATGCATTTGCTTCATTCATTTGTATGATGTACATTTAAAAGCATAACGCATTTTATTTGAATGCATAAAAAAAAACGAACGATGATCTAATTACAAAACGCTAGCATGGATTTGAGGGTAGCGGAATAATTGAATTCAAACAAACTCGGGTAGAAACAGTTTGTGGCGATCTAATTATACCCAAAAACTAATTTGGAACACATTTCCGTAGTTTGATCATTATCTGCAGGCTGTATCGGTTACTGCATATCATGTATGTTCATAGTATTGAAAACATTGCTTCATTATCCATCAATTTTGCACAGAACTTTTGATATTAATAAACTGATATTCAGTTATTTCCGATACGCAATTTGCAGGTAATTATTAATTAATATTAATTTATTAACCTATTGATTAGAGTTTGCGACATTGATAATACCTACAAAAACAAACAAGCACATAATTACGTAAAATCGATTGATAGGTTTAATTGGACATAAATTTCGTCGGATGAATCACAGAAAATACTCTTGGAATGTGCTAAAAATATGTTTTTTTTGTAGTTATTTTGTTAAATATTACGAATACGAGAATAACACATTTATTAGGAATATAATTAGTCACCGTCTATAAACATGCTGTGTTGATTTATTACAGAACTGCTAAAACGTTTTAAAAAAAGGATGTATTATAAGTAATAATTATCTATGAATCATATATTTTCTATTGAAAATACTTTTGGCTGCAAAAACAAATATCAAGATGTTATAATCTCAAATTTGTTTTACATTGTATCTTTTAGTTTGTAATTTATATAATTACAATTTG